TCCTCCTCCTCCTCCTCCTCCTCTCCTCTCCTCTCCTCTCCTCCTCCTCTCCTCTCCTCTCCTCTCCTCTCCTCTCCTCTCCTCTCCTCTCCTCTCCTCTCCTCTCCTCTCCTCTCCTCTCCTCTCCTCTCCTGTCCATTTCCAACCTCTCATCTCATCTACTCCACTCTTTACTTCCTTCTTCTTCGTGGCTGTTTTCCTCACAGTTGTCTCAGTGTGATGATGTCAAGTCGACGAAGCGTTCCAATCTCTTTGTGGTCTGGGGAAGTTCGATCGGCTGGTTCGTCTTCTATGCAAACTTGACGTATGGGGTGAGAGGAGGAGAGGAGGAGGGAGAGGAAGGGGGAGGGAGGAGGGAGGAGGGAGGAGGGAGGAGGGAGAGCAAGCAAGAGTAAGGGAAGGGTTGATCTCTTGAGCTTGTTATCTCACGATCTCCTTCAGATCGTAAGCAGAGGGGTTGAACTTCTTCCTACCCTGCATGAAATCGCCATGAGAGAGATGGAGAGGAACAAGTTAGCGAATCTCCTCCCGGCCCCTTCAGCTCCACTCTCCTCCTGCCTCTCCCGCTCCCTCCCCACACTCCTCCTCTCTCCTCGCCCTCCCTGCCTCTCCCTTTCTCCTTGTCTCCCTGTCTCTGTCCCTGTCCCTGTCCCTGTCCCTGTCCCTGTCCCTGTCCCTTCGCCCCGCATCCCTCTTCCTAATTTTCCTTCTCCCTGTTTCCTCCCTCTCTCTCCTATTTCTCCTTTCCTTTTCTCCCTCTTTCTTCCTGATTTCTCCCTGTTCCCTCCCTCTCCCCCCCTCACTTGGTTTCTGCAGTCTCTCTGGCCTGTCCTTCACCTGCGGCGACCTTCTCTTCGACGAGCTCGCCGACGTCAAGATCCTCCTCCTCACCTCTCAGTGCTGGGACGATACCCTGAGGTCTCCCCATCCTCCTGGGGTCCAGCTGGGGGCTGACGGGGGTTGTGCGCAGGTCAGCAGTGAGGCGCAAGCTGGAGCAGGAGCTGAGGGAAGGAAGGTAGGAAGAACAGGCAGAGCAGGAGGGGGGGCAAGGAAAGGCTGGCCGGCGGGCGGGTAGGGAGGAGGAGGAGGAGGAGGAGGAGGAAGGGCAGTTGAAGTTCTGAGTCTAATGGCAGTCTCGTCATCGACTATCAGGCGTCTCTCGACACAAGTAGCTTCTTCGTCAAGTAGGACAACCGTCGCCACCTCTCCCCCTCCCCTCCGCCGCCGCCCCTTCTCTCGCTCCCCCCTCTCATCCTTCTCTTGTTCTAGCTCCTCTCTCCGTTGGCCAGTTCCGTCCTTTACCTCCTACATCCTCCTCTCCTTCCCTCTTCTCTCCTTCCTCTCTCCCGTCCCCTACCTGCCCTCTTGCGCTCTCCTCCCTTCCACACCCCCTGCTCTCTCCCTTTCCTCATCGCCTTACTTGCTCGCCAGGGTCTCTGAGGTACAGGGACAAGTCTCCTGGAACGACACGCAGAGTTTTCATATCTACCGCAAACAAGCAGCAGCTGGGAGCGTTGCTGACCCCTTAGCTGGGGACTAGCGCGACGGTCTCTCCTGTTGACGGCCTCCTCTCGAAGAAGACTCCACCAGGAGCCCTCCTGCCCTCCTCCTCTCCCGCAAGCTGCGGAGTTCTCCTGCCCAGGTCCACGAAGGCCCCGTTCTCTAGCTCTCCGTCCTCGTCCTCGGCCAAGACCTGTCGTGTGAGAGGAGAGGAGCGGAGCAGGAGGGAGGAGGGGAGGGAGATCGGAGCAGGAGAGAGGCAGAAGCAATGTACGAGCAGGAGGAAGGAGGAAGGTTGGAATAAGGATCCAAGGGAGGGAAGGGGAGGGGAGGAGAATATCAATAAACTGAAGGCACCGACGGAAGACAAGGTCTCAAAGGAAGAAGATGAGAGTGTGTGGCGACAAGAAGCGGAGGAAACAAGAAGGAGGGGGAAGGGTGTGAGGGTTGAAGCTTGTGCATCAGGAAGGAGCAGCAGCAGCAGCAGCAGAACAAGTGTTCACCGCGCGATTCGCAGTCTTGTGGAGGTGAAGGAGCTCCAGGTATTCTTGCTGCTTCTTCTTCTCCAGTGAGTCCAGGCAGCCTCTGAACTCCTCCCTCCTCCTGTTCGAGGGTCAGGATGCTCGAGGGATCGAGGAGACGAGCAGATAGCGGAGAGGGAGGGGAGCAGGAGAGATGGAAGGAGCTGAGAAATTCGAGCGCCAGGTATGAAAGGAGGAAGAGGCGGGGGGGGGGGGGGGGTTGGAGAAGTAGATGAGGAAAGAGAGGGAAGGAGGGGAGGATCACAGGAAGCTGATGGTAGGAGGCTCGAAAATGACGAGGTTGTCGTCCTAGTAGCTGGTGAGGAAAAGCAGAGGAGCAACAACGAAGGAGGAGGACGAGAACGTGTGGAGACGATTGTCATGGAGGAGCAGGAGATCAGGAACGCACAAACAGTCCAGAAAAAACTTCGGCCGAATAATAGTTGCTGGCAGAACTCTGCAGAAATCAGTGAGAGGGAGAAGGACCGATACAGAAAGAAAGTATGAAGGAAGGGGTGGAGGAGGAGGACAAGCGGCAGGTTAAGGAGGAGGAGGAGGAGGAGGAGGAGGAGGAGGAGCAGCAGCAGCAGAGGAACTGGAACAGGAGCAGGAGGAGGAAGTAAGAGGGGTGGCGAGAGGAGAAAGCAAAGGAAGCAATCTTGGCCATGGCAAGAAAACAACCGTGATCCTCGAGAAGTCAGCGTGAACAGATCCCAACATGGTAATCTTCATCTGCTCTCTAGCGTTGCAAACAGCCTGATTCACTCAACAGTAAGAGAGACAAGAATCGGCTTTCAACTTTCACATGAACAATGAACACACATGAAGAGCAGGAGCAGGAGCAAGAGCAGGAGCAAGAGTAGGAGCAAGAGCAGGAGCAAGAGCAGGAGCAAGAGCAAGAGTGGGAGGAGGAGTGAGGAGCAGCAGGAGCAGGAGCTACAACAACGACAAGAGTGGTACAGAACTTGACACCAGCACCATATTTGCACACCTGAGACAGTATCAACCCCTTGGCCAAGGCCTTCCATTTCATCTTCATTCTTTCCCTCCCCAAACGAGCTCGCAACTCGATGTCTCTGTTGAAGTTCTGATGAAACTTTCATCTTCACCATGAGCAGAGGAAAACAAACCGATCCTGCCCTCTCGATCTCCAACCCAAGATCCACTCCGCTCTTGAGGACGAATTTTTCTCTTAGCAACAAGTCAGGAGGCGAGAAAGAGATGAAAACTTGATCTCATCGCACAGATCTCGATCGTCTTCAGTCTCGCAAGCAAACTCCAAGTCCCGAGCGCTCAGTCTCTGTGGAAGAGAACTCACTTCAACACCTCCTTTCATCCAAATGCAACCGTCTTGAAATGGTTCGATCTCCCAGCAAACGATTTGGCCTGACAGGAAGTAAGAAGAGAAAGGAAGTAAGAAGAGGGAGTAAAATATGCATCATCATACCTTGTGCGTACCTGCACTCATCAACAGGCTTGTGCTGTCTGAAGCATGCATCAGCAAAACGGCATCTTGAAGCGCAACTAGTCAAATCGACCTTGGGCCTTCATGACTGGACACGAGACGTTCTGCTTGCTCATACTCAACAGGTTCTTCGGCCGGCCGACATCTTTCGAGCGGGTTTGAGCCATCGGAGCTCGCCAGAGGTCCTTGTGAGGGGGATCGAGCTTGGAGGGATGAGGCCTCAGATTCTTTGCATGTAAGGTGCTATATCGCCCATTCACATCTACAGCAGCATGTTAGTGTTCTAATCCTATTCCTCTTGCCGCAGTCAGATCGACTTTCTTGCTACTCCTGGTCACCTTTTCTCATATTTTCTCCCTACACAGCACATGCTCTCGACTTCACACATTCAAGAGCAGAGAACGTGTGTCAATCGTTCCACCGCCTGCAGCAGCTAATACTGCATTCTTCACCCTATCCCCATTATCCGCCCCCTTCCGATCGATGACGGACCGTACACGATTATGAGGCAAAGAGGAGAAGGGGAAGGAGGAGCAGTAGGAGGTGAAGGAGCTCAAGGAGCTGAAGGAGCTCAAGGAGCTCAAGGAGCTCAAGGAGGTGAAGGAGGTGAAGGAGCTCAAGGAGCTGAAGGAGCTGAAGGAGCTCAAGGAGGTGAAGGAGGTGAAGGAGGTGAAGGAGGTGAAGGAGGAGTAAGAGTGCTGTGTGTATCTCCTTCCTTCTGCAAAGATATATCAATGGGGGACCGTTGATATAACAAGGGGGTGGATGAAGCTGTTGGAGGGGTAAATCGAGTGGAAGGAGGGGGTACTACCATGATGGTGGAGGGGTGGGGTAACAAAATTGATCAACGGGCTGGGGTGATAACGATTATTAACATGTGGAGTCCAATTAGATAGGGAAGAGGGTGGGGTAGTGACCGTTTGCATGAACTGAGGGTAAGGGTGGGGTATATTCAGCTCAATTAAAGGGATGGATGAAAGAATGGTGGGGTAGCTATTTTAAAGGGGTGAGGCTTGATTTCTTTTTATAACGATGAATGGAGGAGTGGAGAAGCAAGGGAAGGGAAGAGGAGAGGAGGGGAGAGGATGATCCGTACAGAGACATGCAGAGAAGAAGGGATGAAGGAGGATGTGGGAAGAGGGTACGAGGGAGAAGAATCATGAGAAGGGGGCAAGAAGGAGGGAAAGGCAGAAGGATAGAGAGACAGAGCAGGGGGGTGTCCAGAAGGATTAAGAAATAGAGTGTATCAAGGCAGGAAAAGATGATCTTATGAGCATGAGGTTGTTTGGATCAGAAACTCATAGTTGTCGTGCGGACATTGGCATGTTACGTGGTTATGAGGGTTGTGCTAGCAACAACAGCACCCGGCTGATTCGACTTTCGATATGACCGTGTGGTTTCAACAGATTTTCATGCCACAGTCGAATCAAGATGCAAAAGGTTTGGACAATTGGTCTCCCCCTTTCATGAAATTGATTCTCTTGCATCAGCGAAGCGGGCGATTCTTCTGCTAAAGAGAACGACGGAGCAACTCACACAAAATGACGACCTGAGGAAAGTCTTGGCTGAGTACACGTCGTCAGCATCTGCTGATGCCGACAATGAGGAGGTGTACGTGTGAACCTCGTTTTGGTTGCGTCTGACTTGTTGCTCGTCATGAAAGATGCTTCGGGTGCACGGCTGTTTCCTAGCAAGTGTTGGTCAAAGAAGTCTTGCCGCCGACAACTTTGAGAAATGTTTGAAACTGCAGCCTAACTCGGAGCATTGTATCATCTCGTACGCCTGTCTCTTGCTGGCAGGGATCAATCAAGAGGCACGTCTCTCAGAACTAGAAAGAGCGAGCGAGCTTCTGAAGCGAATTACCAAACTCAACCCCAACCATCCCAAGGCTCTCAAGTTGCTACAGCGAATCTCAGCGCGGTTCTCCGAGAGTGACTTTGCTCTGCTAAGGACTGAGAACGGATACATCAACGTTCAGGCATGCAGAACGTCCTCTTTCTCTCCCCGTGCTCATCCCTCAACCTTCAGGGTCAGACGCACATCGGAGGCTCTCCGGCCTCTGCGTCCTCCCCTTCTCCAAAGTCCATGGAGAATGCCAAGTCTCCTGTGAAGGACCAGGAGGTTGCGAGCAGTGCTTGTGTGCTGCTGCAACAGCTGACGACCAGCCTGCAGGACAAGAGCGAGATGCTCGCTGACCTGACCAAGTGCCTCAACCGGTATAACAACGATGTGGCCAACATCACACAGCTAGAGCAGCAGAACGTTTTCAGCAAAGAGGAGGCGCATCAACAGCGGCAGGAGGCGCTGGAGAGGTTCGAGAAGGCAAAGCAGCTCATCATGTCGGGCAAGAAGCTGTCGACGTTTGATGATGATAACGAGAAGGCGGTAAAGGGAGCACCTGATGACTCTGACGACGACATGGTGAAGTATCTTCCTGCTTGCTCGTCCCTTGCTGACTGTCCCCACCCCTCAGGATGTCAGTCAGCTACGCCGAAACACCAAGAAGAAGTTCTTCTTCTGCGTCCCGATCCCATCCCTCTAGCTGAGAGAAAGTCGAAGGATGTCAAAGAATTAAATTTCAAGGAAACAGGAGGAGAGGGGAAAGTGCAGAAAGATGACTCATCATGCTGCGTGTGAGGGAAAACGAGTGTCCGAGACATTTCAGTGTAGAATTCTTCCAACGTCGATCATCCCCTTGCGATGATTCACCGACAGCAGCACGCAAGCGGGCAGCAAGATCATGAAAGACAGGTAGACAAAACCTGCCGAGCTTATCAGGTAACCTCCATCTCCGCTCACATCATAAGTTACCCAAGTTGATCGTGCTCGTTCTCCGATAAATCTCTCCGACAACTAACGGGCCCAGCCAGGAGCTTCCCTTGTCAGTGATCTCAAACAGGGCGAAGAATTCGGCCTCCTTGCCCGGCACGGTCAGGTCCGCAAACATGGTCCGCGAGAACGACTGGCAGGTAGTGAGCACAGGGACAAGTCAACGAGGAGGAGACGAGGAAGAGCTCGAGCAGTTTGCAAGGAAGGGGAGAGGAGGGAGGGGGAACACGAAGGATAGGAGCCGGATGTAGTTCCGGTAGCTGTAGAGGAAGGGGAGGCTCAGGAGGAGAAGAGAAGGATCCGAGGGGTGGGAGGGGCGGGTGGGAGGGGTGGGAGAGGGTTCCCAACCTGCACTGGACCAATCATGAGGCCATGCACGGCACCGAAGAGAAAGGCTTCAGCTCGCTGCTTGAGGCCTACGGGGGAGGAAGGGATCAAGCCGATGATGCCGACGAGGCAGAGGAAGAGGTAGCCGGCCAGCGCGATGCAGATTATGACCTTGCTCTCGAGCTTGAAGCGCCACTGAATTTTGAGGAGGAGGAGGTTGCCGAAGCTTGCCAGCAGCAGAACCTCTAGAATCACGACCCCAAGGGCGGTAGAGGACATGCAGAGCTTCTGCTGCATGACTAGAACGCCGACGCTGGAGACTGTGGTGTAGGCGTCCGAGTAGAAGAAGTAGGCGATGAAAAACTTCATGGTTTCGGGGTAACTGGCCGCATGTCGGATGGTGCTGAAGGTGGACGCCCATCCTACCGTTACAAACTCACTCAGCTTCGGCCTCCGCTTCCCCGGGTGGGCCCCGAGGTAGTAGAACGTCCAGAGGGACCATCCTCCCCACCACAACCCGGCGAAGAAGATCGTCACTCGATCACCCAGCCTGTTGTTGTCCTCGTTGCCCACCACCGCCTGCAGCACGACTCCAAAGACAGCTCCAAGGAAGCCTGCGATGTATCCAAACATGAACCCCACGGTCGACATGAAGTTCTCGATCTCGTCGATCTTCTCCATGCTGTTCGACATGCTCGTCACCTCTGGATGGAACGAGACCAGAATGGGAAGGAAGGCATTGTAGTACACCACACTGAGCCCGAAGCAAATGTTCGAGATGATGGTCAGCCAGGCAGCTAAAGGGTACAGATGGGGGTCGGTGACAAAGAGGAAGAGCATGCAGGACAAGCTCCCGATCGCCGTGCAGAGGATAAGGCCTAACTTCCTGTTCTTCCCATAGTCTGCAAGGGCTCCAAATGTGATGAAGAACAGACACTGAGCGATGACACTGAAGGAGAGAACGCGGGTAGGAAGGTGAAGGAGTCGACTTCTCCCAGGAAGTGGACGCTCTGCTGAGGAGCAGGAAGGCGGGTGAACGAGGTCCCATTCCAGTACACCATGCCCTTTCCTATCACGCACGTTTTGCAAGGTTCCTTCCCCAAGATGCAGGGGGCACTGTCGCATGAGGGGTCGCAGGTTGCGATAGACTTTGAGTTGCTGAGTTGCTCAGCGATCCCTGAGAGGAAGATGGGGATGAAGAGGGAGATGGAGGTCGAAGCATACACGCTGTTGGCCCAGTCGTTCACGTACCATGCTACCCGTTCGCTAGATTCCCCCCTTCGCTTCTCCCACTCATACCGCAGCCTCGACAGAAAGTTCTGCTCTTTCTGCTCTTCCAACAAGTTCTTGTCTGCAGATTCTGAGAAGTGCTGAGAGATCTGGGCCATCTCCAGCTCAGATGCCTCATCCGAGTTGTCCTGACTCGCTGACATCAACCCCCGTCTATGTCGCCCCACTCAGACTTCTCACAGGCTTGCGAGTACACAAGCAGTCGCAATGGCGTTGCCCACCAATCCTTTCCGGTGAGTCATCTTGATGTCGTCCACGCTCCTCTCCTCCTCACTCACTCACTCTCCTCATTCCTATGACCATGTTCGTCCTCGTCCTCATCTTCCAGCACCATCTCCTCCTCCTCCTCCTCCTCCTCCTCCTCCCCTTCCTCCCTCCGCTATCTGCATTCTGACTGATATCCCCCCACCCCCGGCTTTACCTACAACCATTCAAGACTGCCACACAAGTCCACCCCAC